CTGGCTCGGAGCTAAAGAAAAAATGGGGGTGCGGTGTTAAAAATAAATACATTTAAATTTTGTAACAAAAAATAAATTAACCTAATTTGATTAATTTGAATATTCATTAAAATCATAGGGGAAAAAAGCTTAACGACAATAAGCAACAATTGTCGCGTGACGTCACCACGTCCACATCCGTCATTGAAGATTTAAAAATACACCAGTCAACATGGCGCAAAAACGCATTTCTGATTTTTTCGCGAAGCCCAAAAAAAAAAAGAGACCGAGCCTTGAGCTGGCGATAAGGAAGCAGACCTGGAGCCTATGCCTAGTGGGCAGCCAACCAGCAGTAGGCAAACGCATTAATCTTATTTTGTTTTAGGCTAGTAGTATTAATTCTAACAATAATTTATTCTAATTCTAACAATTCTTCCTGATTATCCAGTCAGTATGGTAGGCTACTCTAAGAAGCCCTTTAAGTCAAAATCAATTTGACTGTGTAGCCTATACGTTGTTTAAAACTTTTATCATATACTGATTAAAAAACTAAAACATATGTTGCCATGACTTTTTGATCATATTTTCCCCCCTAACACGTCTGTACCCAAATTAAGAATTAACGAGCATGTCTACAGCTATTACAAAGAAACAGAGAAAGAGCGAGAGTCCATTTACCTCAGCAGCAACTATGTCGCATTCTCGCATCTTGATCTTTAACGTTATCTTTTCGTGGATCAAAACTAATGCTTAAGGTTGATTCAATATATAATACAATTTAAAAAAAACGTTACATCAACAATAAAATAGTTAATAGTTATTATTAATAATAATACAAAAAACATAGGCCCACAATGAAGTAGTATCATTAAGAAATTCACATATTAAACTGAAGTTTTATTAACAAAATGACAATTTTGTTTATAAAATTTGTAACGCAAATACAATGGATTTCCCCCTTTAAAACGATCGTAGTTTGTGGTTCATTGTTATTAAAACAGATCAGTCATAAAGTAGTACAATGGCAAATTCGCATTTATTAAACCTCTAACTGTTATTAACAAATTGATGAAGCCTATAGCTACTTGCGTTGTAACCCAGATAAATAAGGTTTTCCTTATTTAAAACGAAGGCTTAGTTTGTGGTTCATCTTTGTTTTTTAATGAAAACACAGCAACAATAAAGACCAACTCAGTTATTTTAAACGAAGAAATGAAACACTACTACAGGACAAAGCCTGTGTATTGCACACATATAACTTCGCTCCTGGGAAAACTCGACTTTCGACTTTTCGAAAACTCGTCTTTTGTCTTTAAAGAGCACCATATTACCTTGAGCAAAAGTAGCCCTTTTCTCACTTAGACATTTCTTCATTTCATGTGAAACCCAAACCTTGTTATTAGGGTATATTTTAACAGTTTTGTTTGGTACAACATTATTCTCACAGAAAATAATGTAAGATCTTATTGTTTCTGTTAACTCATTTGCGCTTACACAGTTATCAAAGAAAATGTCCCAGTTCGTATCATCAAAACAGTCTCTCAATCTCTCTTTACAGACCTCAGACCACAGCGTCACTTCTCTTACAGTAGGCTTCTCTTGTTTGAGTTGAGCTTTGTATGTGGGCAGCTGATGAATAACGTTATGGTCTGACTTACCCAGTGGTGGGCGGGGCACTGCCTTATAAGCATTCGGTATATTACCATAACACTGATCCAGAGTCCGCGAAAGCCGTGTGGGACAGTCTATTGTTGTAGCGTTGGTAAATGACTGGAAAGTTCGCAGTTATTAAAATCCCCAAGTATGAAGACACAGAGCGCAAGAGTGCGTTGTTAAAACTCTCACTTATCCTACCAGCAGCTTCCTCGTATTTAGGTCCCGGTATTTAAACCAGAATGATGGTAATCTGTCCGAATACATATACATATACATATACATATATACATATACATATACATAAGCGTTCTGGTCCAGATCCGGAAAAAGGATCCATGCCGGTATTGGCCCTTTGTGCCAAAAGACACCAGCCCGAGTCTGTTGCGCGGATCTGGACCAGAACTTCCGATGGGTCTGGGCCAGATCTGGCCCAGATTATTTTTGCTATCTTTCGATTCATCATTGTAAAGCGCTCCTGCTCCCTCAAGACCATGCAAGACGACAGAAAGCGCATCCTGTTTGTTTTTATTTTACAAAAGCACAAGGTTTTGTTGATATTGTGAGTGCACACAAATAAAAGTAGACCCTTTACAGTTCCGAATGATGTATTACTCTTCCCTTTATGAGCAAAAATTTGGCGCATTTTAAGTTTCCACTCTTAAGAAAAAAATGCTCAACTCAGTCTGCCACTGGCCGCTTGGCCGTTACTTAAAAAAAACAAACTTGAATTTAACAAACATGAAATGTTCCACACATATTTCTAAATTAATTTAATATAGAAATGAAAAGTAATATAACCACTTTGACATAAAAATAAAAAAAAAACTGGACTAGCCTATTTGCTGAAACAGCAACTGTGTAATGGGGAAGAGAGAGAGAAAAAAAGACACAGGCTCGTGTCGGACTCAGGCCGAGAATTCTGATAAGCTGTCGGACAAGGGCCGGGCTGTATTCGTTCCCTCGTTTCAATTAACAGTTCCCCCTCGGCTATGCGGACCCCCAATATGCCCGGGCCCTTATGCACCTGCATACCCTGAATACCCAGACGCTACACCACTGATGCCCTATATCCAAGCAATTCTGGTCTGACCTAGGTTCTCATATATTTGACTTTGCCAATATTGTACATTCGTTTAGTTTAAAAGACATTATTTTTTATTATAATAACACTAAAAATAAACACCTGGAACATATTACAAATTATTTAATTTTATTTGGTAAATTTTTCATTCACAAACAAAAATTTGCAATTAGTTTCCCATCCTATCCCCTTTTTAAAATTGAATTAAACTCACTTCTAAAATCTCTTCATCTTATAAAGAATTAAAAAAATCCCTACGATTTCTGAAATATTATACAGAGGTATTTAAATAAAATGCATGCTTTTAGATGCTTTCCTTGTATGTGATTGTTTTTTTTAATCTCATTGTAATGTCATTCCTATTCTGTTTTTTTATTTATTATTATTAATATATATATATATATTTTTTTTTTTTTTGTAACAGTATTTAAGTTATTGTTAATGTGTATGTGATCATTTTTATTGAGTTTTCTCTCAGAACAGAACAAGGAATGACCATTGACAAATAAATCCTGTTTTAACCGGTTTGGCAGCGATCACCCATTGGGTTACACTGAGTGCACAGGTGTGTGAGGGGGTTCATCATTTGTATTGTCAGTAAAAGTTACCACTGAATTACAGAAAAACCAGCACCTGGGTAAAAATATTAAAAATAACCCAATACAACTGGCTGAAACCAGCATTTGGGTAAAAAAAAAATTACCCAGCATTTTTTTAGAGTGCAATAAATAATAAAATGGGCTACAGTCAATTTGCTCATGGGATGCTTTTCTTTTATTGCATTAATTGTACATCTCAACCAGCGAATTAGTCATCAATGACACTCATTTTTTATTTATTTTGTAACTAATTGTGTTTTTGTATGCATATTTGATTTTTAATTGATCATTTACTATATTTATTTTGTATTATATTATTTATTCATTTCAATTTTACACTTGCATTGCCCTGCTTCTGGGTGTCGGGGTGGGCCTCAGCTTGACATCTCCTTCAGTCAGAGGCCCTAATTGTATACTGCCCCCCAGGCCATAGTTCATCATTGATTGATCTATCTATTTTTGGTCCCCATGAGGAAACAAGCCTATAAATAATAGAGACGTTTTGTGTGATGGGTAGGTTCCAGGGTAGGGTTAAAGTAAGGGGATAGAAAGTACAGTTTTTTACAGTATAAAGACCATTACGCCTATGGAATGTCCCCATAAAATATGAAAACCTGTGTGTGTGTGTGTGTGTTTTGTGTGTGTGTGTGTAAAATACTAATCTTAAGGAGGCTAATCACACGCACAAAATATATTAATCTTAAAATCTTGTCTTATTTTTCAACTCAAATGTTCTAAAAATCCCTGAAACAAGATTTACTTGATTACTTAATTTTTTTTTTTTTTTACTAATTAACAACTCATTCGGATATCATTTTGTATTTCTCTAGTGTAAGAGCTGCACAAATTAGATTCAAGATGCCAGCGACTAGTTATATATATATTTTTTATATACACATTTTTTTTTTTGTAAAATACTTTTAAAATACATTTTAATACTAATTATATCTGTCGAGGATAAATGCATGTGCATAAATGACATAAAAAGTAACATTTTACGTTGTGAATGTTTCTGTGACTTTTCCTGATGGGTGTCCTGCTTCACAGATAATTTTACTTTGATTCCATTCTGCTTCATTAATAGTTATATGGCTGACTTTCAACCTCTTGTTTCCAGTTCCTACTGTGGGGTACTGGATGAAATTAGTCAAAGAATTTCCGCGCTGATCCATCCATTTGAAATTGACAGATTCAGCGGGTGAGAACCCAGTGGCCAAACAGCCAACAAGTAGGGAACCAGGTGAGGATTCACACGGAGACATCACAAACACATTTGGTGCTTTGGGAACTTCATCTGAAAGAGTGAAACCACACGAAACACAGGCTAGTATACACACACTGATGAAGCAAAATACAGTGGACTTAATTGACCTAACAGTTGCTTCAGCAACCCCCAGAAATACTCCTAAAACATTTGTATGGCAATCACATACAGGCTGCATTAATAAATTAGCTATTCATATAAATCTACACATAAAAAAAGCTATGTGCATGTTTAATTTCATTAGTCACAAATGAAACATTTTGATTAAATTGTTAGTAATAAAATAGCTGAATAATAAAACAGCCTATTAAAATCGAGGGGTCAAGACCTGTTTTGCTCATATTTAATAGTATGCTAATGGAACAGCTCCTCTGTCAATAATGTACCAACCTCCCCTCAGCACCAGCAGTTAAAATTCTCCTGATTGAAAAAACAATTTATTATAAACTGTCTAATCTATAGGCCTGCGTCAAAAATAGCCACTGACTATAATCCAATAGGCTATGCGTTTTTACGCTAAAGCATCACAACCTTAATCATTAAGACCTACCCGTCAAAATATGGAAATAGGCTATTTTTACAGCAAACAGCAAAAACAGAACAAAAGCACGCACATAACTGGCAAAATACTCAAGGGTGCACAAAGGAGACATTTTTTTTCAAAAACGTTCAACGTTCAAAAACGTATTCAATTTTCCTTTTTTTTCTTTGGAACTTTGGTGTGGCGACGTTTGTTCTGTTTTCTTATGAAAACACCTATAATTTAGCACATTTATTTTTCAAAGTTAACAATTAAAATACGCACTATTTCCCCAGTGTTGTTTAAGCTTTTCACATGGTTTCATGGTTCCAAGGTTGCACTATTTTTTTAGATTGAGATTAATAGAGGGAAATGAAACATTTTGATTAAATTGTTAGTAATAAAATAGCTGAATAATAAAACATTTTACACACGTAAAATTTTACTTTTTATGTCATTTATGCACATGCATTTATCCTCGACAGATATAATTAGTATTTGAAAAATGTAACTACTTCTGAATTTGCGTGAGTGCGTGAGAAATACTAGAAATAACATGTCCAGCTCTTAAAGTGCTCTTCAATTCAGAACGTCAAGGTTTTCGCACATCAGAGAATGTATAAGGTCGCACTGTGATGCTTTTGACTACTGGGGTAAAGGCACACAAGTGATCGTCACAAGTAAGTTCTTTACTTCTTTTACTTCTAAAATTTTGTAGCTTATATACTTGCAATTAAAAAAATAAAAACACATACCGTAGCTACTAGTCTGCAAACAAAACGTGCTTTATATTAATGTTAGATTATCCTGTCATGTCGGTATCTCTAGGCCTAATGTTTTTTAGAAACTGCCTTGGATTATTTTGATGTTGCATTAATTTAGACTGTCTGTATTAAATTTGGTTAAATCTTTAAACACCTTATCTGGGTTTCATCTTTTAAACCTTTGAACTTTATAGAGTAATGTAAACGCGCATCAAGTAGGCAATGCGAATCTATATCAATGCAGAAAAATATGAGGGTGCTTAATAAATTACTGACAGTCTATTTTCATTTTGACAAATAGCTGTCCTACAGTTAGCCTATAAAATTATTTATTACTGTAGAAGTAGAACACTCAATGTGTAAATGTTTTCTTTATTTCGGTCCTAGCCTCGCTAGACTAATTATGGTCAGGCAGAACCTTTTATATTCAACAGAACTAGGCTTATGTACAACTGATATAAACTAATGTAGCGCTGTGATATAGTTAGTATGTGATTTACCGCTTTTTTTTTCTCAATATTTCGTTTTCATATCTTCAATGTCATTTT